GGAGACCTGGTGGCCTTTGGGTGGTAGAAACCTGGCTAGAAAAACTATATTACAGTGTAAAATCTGTACTCGTATGAAGGGTGAAACAGTGAAACCAATAATGGGAAATCTACCAAAGGAACGCGTACAGGCTGATTTTTCTTTCATAAATAGTGGTGTTGATTATGCTGGTCCATTCTATATATTGAATCGAAAGGGAAGGGGCTCTAAGCTTGAAAAGTGTTATTTATGTTTGTTTGTCTGCTTTACTACTAAGGCTTTGCACTTGGAACTTGTTACCAATTTAACCTCTGAATACTATATTTTAGCATTAAAAAGGTTTATATCTCGTAGAGGAAAACCACTTTGTATTTTTTCTGACCACGGTAGGAATTTTGTGGGTGCTAAACGGGAACTTGCAAATTTCTTATGTGGGGAGTCTCAATGTATAATTGATTATGCTTCATCCAATGTGATAGAATTTAAATTCATACCACCCTACGCACCTCATTTTGGCGGTTTATGGGAAGCAGGGGTGAAATCCTGTAAACACCACATCACCCGGGTGTTAGGCAATAGTCATTTAACTTATGAGGAGTTCAGTACAGTTTTGGCACAAATCGAAGCTGTCCTGAATTCCCGTCCTATGTATTCTCTGTCCTCAGACCTAACAGATTTTACCCCACTCACTCCGGCACACTTCCTGATCGGCCGACCGCTGACCTACCTCACAACCAAGCGAGGATGTCACAAGCACTCCATCACACTCGTTATCCCGGTACCAGCGCATCGAGCAGCTTAGGCAACATTTTTGGAGGCGATGGTCAACCAAGTATATTGGGGAACTACAGACTCGCACTAAGTGGAAGGAATCAAAAGGAATATTAGCACCTGATACTTTAGTGCTCATCAAAGAAGATAATCTACCTCCCTTAAAGTGGCGTTTGGGAAGAATTTTGTCTGTGTTTCCAGGGAAAGATGGCGTTCCCCGAGTGGCCAGTATAAGGACAGCTAATGGAGTCATTGAGAGAGCGTTTCCGAAGATATGTCCCTTGCCAGTTTCAACAAAGGAGGAAGATGCATTTACTAACACATCTGTTCAACGTTGTTGAGAGCAACTGCTCAGCTCTCAAGGCCCGCTGGCATGCTCATGAATAGCTCCATCTGGCGATCGGACGTAACAACGCACGAACAAGGGCGTGTTTCAACTGGCAACAATCAGTCACCGTTGGAAGTAGTTATCACCGGAACCACGGGATGGCGTTATATATCAATATAAAACCCAAGAGCACGATCGGCGGAGCACTTCCTTTGGCCAAAAGGGGTCCAGCTTCGACTCCTCTCAGACTACATATATATATTCAAAATTAATGTAACGAAGTTGAAAATATATCTTTATTTATTTATTGAGAAGTTCGCTTTATTTCCTCAACAAATACAGAAAAATATACAATAGAGGTTGCATAGTTCCTTGAAATAAAACAAGGAACTTTTAAATATGAATTCCGCTGAGTTATTTAATATTTGAATTTTATAAAAAAGACATTTATAAAGACACGGTCGGAAGACCGACGGGGCCTTGGTCCCTTTGACTTCCCGGACAAAGGAGGCAGGAAGGAGAACTAAAAAAAAATTAGTGATACCAACTTCGGTCATTAGAGTTTTAGTAGAATTTTCGCTTAGACTGGGGATCTAGTGCACTATCACTAGATCCCTAATCGTTCTAAGCGGTGGCAGGATAATGTGCATTGACTCATCTAATCCGCTCTATTTTCTTACAAGTTTTTGGAGCAGACAATGAGAGACCTCTAATTTTATTAGCATACCTACATGAAAAATATATTTTAGTTTATGAAATTGTAATTTTATAGTTATGCTTAGTGCAGTAACCTCTAGAAACCCTGTGGTTTAGGAAGAATGAAGAAGAATTTTTGCGGGCCGGCAAGGTGAGGATGGACTTTATCACCACTTCTATCTTCGCGTTTGGACTTTATCACCACTTAACATCAGGTGGAGTAGAGTCATTTGCCTACCTAGTTATATAAAAAAAATATAAAAAACCGCTTGAGGACGCGTTTCTTTAACGACTGCATAGACGTTAAACAATTCTACTGACTTTGCGTGTATCAAATACGATATTTTCCGCGCATAGTTTGTTAGAGTAAATTATATTAAATAGTGGCGCAGCTGTCAATCAAGCAATCACCAATCAGTGTAGCGAAAGATATCGGAGCGGTTTTTTTCATATTTTTCTCATCCTCAGAACTGCTTAAAGACCCAATGTACTTATTCTGACCATAAATACTGTTACAATAAAAATATACATTTGAATTTGGAATATGTCATTCTTATATGAAGACTAGCCGTGCCCCGCGGTTTCACCCGCGTTTACAATCATCAACAAATATATTTCGAAAAAGATTATTACAGGATTTTATGTTGATAAAAAACTCTATGTTCCATAACTCATTAATACCAACTCTTAACATCTTACACACGTGATAACTTTTAAACGAAATATCCGATTGAGATGAAACAAGAAGTATTTTACTTCTATATAAATACTCTTAATAACATTATGCTTAATTTCGATAAAGATTAATATTACGATACATATTTAACGTAGTTTTTTTTTCTTCAGACGATTTAATAATTATTTCGAACACAAAATCGGTTATTGTGATGTTAGCTAGATATATGTTCTCGCAGACTTTTTTGTAGGTCTTAATGGAATCTACAAACCCGTAGTACATCATTTTGTTCTATTGTCAATAGTTTTTGCAGCGCACGTAAAAATAGGTTTTCGATTTTACACCTTGTGTTACAAAATAGCAATGCTATTACAGATCCCTAATTTTGAATATCAATAAATGTACTACCCAACACTGAAAGAATCATTCAAATCGGACCAGTAGTTCCAGAGATAAGCGCGTTCAAACAAACAAACTCTGCAGCTTTGTAATATTAGTATAGATTTATTGTTTTTTCATTTTTACGCCAGTCGGTGTTAAATATTTTCGTGATATAAAAATGGAGTGGGGAAACGAAAAGAACTTCGATCTGTGGGTATTCAAATCTTGGCGAAATAAATGGCTACTATGGTAAAAACCATGACCAAGGAACTTTCCTCTGGTCATTTTCAGCATCAAGCACTTACATCACGCCAGGCCTCACGCTTATACAGAGCCGCTCGAAACTCAACTGGCTCACTATTCGCCGGCGCAGGGACTTACATAACACATACGCTCCTTTATTCTGTACTTTTCCTACCTACTTCTCCACCTTATCTAAAACAATGCTTCTCTTTTCGTTCTTCCTCTTCACAATGCATTTTACGCTACTCTTCTAATCTCACTCTCGAGATACCTTGCCATTCAACTAATTTTCTTTCTTATTCCTACTCTGTGCATTCTGTTCGCTTGTGAAATTCATTACAGGAATCTATTTGAAGGGCTCGCACTCTGGACTTGTTCCGTGATCAAGTTAAGCGTCATTCCTATCCTTACTTTGAACATACCTCTTTCCTTTCTTTATTTATTTATTTGTTTCTTTATTGTTTTAAATATAAATATGCATCTTATTATAATCACCTTTTTTTATTTTATAATATTGCTTTTACACCCTTGCCCCTTTTTTGTCCTTATATACTTATTTCATTTTCCATCATGGGTTGCCTGGAAGTAGTATCTTCTTTTATTATTAAGCAATAAGGCCGCCCATTGTGTAATGCCTCTCTGTCAGTGTAATTGTACTTTTATGCCCTTTGTGGTGTTATACAATAAAGAATATTATTATTCGTGTTATTTTTAAAAAAATCGAAGGCATTGTTTTATCTTCGTAACAAAAAATATACGCATTATTGGTATGATGTTGTCGATTCTGACTTATTACTTTATATGTACATAGAGTCAGTCCTTATTATGAATCATTGATCACATCATGGTTAGTCATGAGACTTGGCACGATACTGATATGATTCTAAACTTAAAATTATTTTTTACAACAGTTTGCCCTTCCCATTCACTATACCTAATGAAAAAGAGAGACTGATGTTAAATTTAGTTTTAAGTTTAGAGAATCAAGCCAGAATCGATACACACAACTTAACTTAAGACAATATAAGCACAAAAACAGAATAATTTACACAATAATTCAATGTTTTTGTAAACGACTAAGGCCAATTTTCACGAAAGTTCTTAATTCAAGTTTAAAAGCTTAAAAGATAATCAAAAATGGATTGGTGTGCTAACCACGAATAATCCATTACTCGAGTAAAAAACTTTTGTTCACCTAAGGGATTTTCATGATATTTCTTTCTAGCCACACTGAAACAAAACAAAATTGCGGCCAAGACGTTGAGTGAGTGGTCGATTGAGTGTACATAGAACACTCAGAGGCTGAACATTTCTTACCATCTAGGATTAATGGAGATTAAACAAACAAGTTCAATTTGCTCAATGTGATGTCGTGTTACTAACACAATCCAAATTACTTTTTGTTATTATAATTTTTTTTAAAAAATAGTAACAGGATTGAAATGTAAGTGATAACAAAAAAATGTTTTCGACAATTTTGGTCAATAGAACAAATAAGGACTGCAGCAACGATTACTGGAATTTCAATGGTATCATGTAAAGATAAAATCCTGCAACCTTTTTAAATAGAGAAACAATTTTGCTATGAGATATTTCTTTTATTTATTTATGAGTAATCCAGAATTATTAAAGAAATATTTTATTGTACCTTTATTATTTGTTTTTTTGACATGTCATAAGTTTGACAACAATGAGCAAAAATCCACTGAATTACAAATTATACGACCTACAAAGTCATTATTTTGAATCCCCATCTTACTTATTTTTAAATCATTTAATTCTATTTCTTTCTTCAAACTTCTGACCCGTGTTCAATAGATTAAAAAAAAAGTAGATTTTTTCGGGAAATGTAAGGCAACACTGAATCTGTCATTTGTATTGAATTGGTTTGACAGTGACACCCTCTTGGCAATTACTTTGACAGATCGGATGTAATGAAACGGTTGCGGCTTTTTTGGCTGTATATTGTATATTTTTGTGTAAACAATTTGATTTTCTTTACAAGCTCGCAATAATAAATACGTTTCACTAATGAAGATGAATGCAACAAGTTTGTATGTTTCAACGTGTCGGTTAATTATCCTAGCCGATGTCGCCGACAAATCTTCATGGACAGATCTTTTTCGATTAGTTCCTTATTTACGCCAATCTTTATCTTGCACAGTTTGTGGCAATTTGTTAAAGGAGCCTTATACACCATCAAGCTGCCAACATCATGTCTGCAAGAAATGTAAAGGTGGTAGAAAGAAACTGAAACCTTCTTGTAATTGGTGCAAAGACTATGAAATATACGCCGAGAATTTGCAATTACGAATACTCTTACAGTGCTACAAAAAGCTTTGTGAATATTTTATGGGGACTGATGTCTACAAAGTATTACTGGAAGAGGACGAAATAGTCGCAGGTGTAAATGGAGGCACTGTAGCCAGTTCTGGATTGATAGATCTGATACAAGAAGGGGCAGGGTTTTCTGATGATTATAAAAGTACAGCAGGTCTCTCGAAGTCAGCATACAGTATACTTCCATGTGTTTACACTAATTCAGCATCAACACAGACCCAAGGAGCATCATCTTCAAATAACTCAGACAACTGGTCATCCAGTAAAGATTCTCCAAACTCAAGGTCTATGTCAAATGGATCACCAATGTATTCTGTAATGTATGCCGGTTCTGGCAACAAAATAACAATAAAAAGAAAAGCGGTGGATGATACAGAATCAACCTCACAAGGTGAATCTAGTGGTAGAGAAAGTAAGGTAGGTAACATACATTATTTCCATTTATGCACATATTTGCATGTAATTAAAACATATTGTTGTCATATTGGCAGAATTAAATAAGTAACAAAACTAATTTTGTTGAAACTGAAATGAACATAACTTTTATTGTTAATAAAATTAACTGTGGATCTTTTGATTTGTTGTACAAAATGCCCTTGATTATTGATTTGAACTGAATGAGATAATCTACATTATTTAAATAAAAAACTGCTGTGGAAGTTGGGTCTTGTCAATTATTTAGTTCTTCCACTGTGAAGATGATATATGATATGATTTAAATAATGGTGTTTTATTATTACTTACAGTCAAGTTTAGGTTTCAAAAAGCCATCAAATCGATCTAGAAGTTCGGCTAGCAGTAAACGCAAGGGATGTCGATGTGGGAATGCTACTGCGACACCAGGAAAGTTAACATGCTGTGGCCAGAGGTGTCCGTGTTATGTTGATAGTAAACCATGTACTGAATGCAAATGTAAAGGTTGTAGGAATCCACATCGCCCTGATGGCATGAAGGTATGTAAAAGTATTACAAAATGCATATTTCACTAAGCATTGAATTTAATGTAAGCAAACTATAGCTGCAATAAACAGGCAACTCTTATTAATAAGTGAAAAAAAAGCTTGGAGTAGTAGCAATAAATTGCTTTTTGTTTACATCTGTAGTGATGTATACAAACATCAATTTATGGCTACTATGATACTATGACAAAAGATACTGTATAAAAATACCAACTTTAACTATATTTATTAATCACCAATTGCCACTGGGCCCGCATGGTGGGTTATGGCCTAGTCTTCCTATTCCATCTATAGAGAAGGCCTGTGCCCCTGCAGTGGGGGCATTAATAGGCTAATGAAATAGATGATGTTTATAAATAAGATCCTCTGAATTTATTGTTGAACAACTAAAAAATCTTGGTACAAATTTGGTCAATAAATAAATTTTGATAGACTGTGAAAACTATTAATACATGATTTCTATGGCTTTGATTACAGGTAAGACCACATATACCTCAATTGGACAGTTTACAGTTGACTTTGAACACAAATCCAGATAGTTCACCATCATGTTCAGGATCTATGGACAGCTTGGATACAGACACACTAACTATAGAAGCAATGGAAGAATCTCTCAACTTCAGTGCAGATCTCAAGTCATCTAATATTAAAGGTAAACTGTTCTGATTTCAAAAATTAAACATAGAGGAAAATAAGGTTGACCAATGCCAGGAAAAGAAAATAATAATAGCTTAAATTTCTCACATTAATTTTTAAGATTTTTCATGTGAGTATTTAATTTTTCAAACCTCTACTACTCTGCTCTTTAAGCACTTGTCTTTTAGTGGAATACCTGGGTAATCTTTATAGAAAAACAAAATTTTTATGATATGGAAATCAAGAAATAACTGATGAATAATAAATAATAAATAATGTTATGATTACACATAATCCTGAAACAAATTTTCATTGAAGTCATAGGGATATAAATATTTCAAGTTTGTGATTCTTAATAATAGCAACACTGCACTAATTGTTTTGTTACAATAAAAATCTTTTTGATGATGTTTTTATACATCTGCAACTATTTATTACCTAGTTTATAAGTGTTTGCTCATATGCTTGTGCTGAACCACCTACAACAGAAGACATTGTTATTTAAATGAGTGCAAGTAAAAATTATTCAATGATCTTCAACTGTATAGATTAATAAGTAAAATTTAATCCACAGTTTATTCAAGTCAATTACAAGAAGTGTCACCTTCACTGCCTGCCACAATAATGATGGATGAGGATTTGCCGGGGTCACCAGAAGACGACCTGAGTTCACCGCATGAGTACACAATGGCATCCCCACATGATGCACCAGACGACACTATGTCTCCGCAGTCCGAACACCATGAAGCCACTAGTGACATTGAAGTCGATGTATGACATCAAATTTCCATTTCTAGTGACTAGGATACAATCTCTGTTAATAACAGGTCAAAGCTGATGTTTATAATATCGATTTTTATGCAACTAGTCACATGGTGTCTCCAACTGTTCTTAGTCATAAGTTTAATGTATTTTTGTTTTGTAATTTTTATGTTATATTTTTATCAATGACATGTTATATTCCATTTCTACTCGAATATCAGATAAGTATAATTATTGACAATATTGACAAAAAGTAATTACATACAAACACAGCACACATATAAGGAGTTTTCGGATATCAGATGATTTAAAGGGGTACAGTTTTGCATGTAACCAAAGCCCGTTTCACTAGTTACTTTAGCAGTACTAAGGTATGTTCTTCCTTTTAGATATTGATGTGCAATTAAAATTTATATTATCACATTTCTTTTAAGCATTAATGATGCTGTAAGTACTATTTGAGTGTACTAGAAAAAAATCCATTTATGAATAGTGCACAACGATATGAATCACTTTGTTGTTCGCGGTTTAATCAGGGCCACAGTAAGACGGTAACAAAGTAGTACAGCTCGCGTGGTAGAATGAAGGATAGGAGAATGTGGGATAAGAGAGAACAACTCCTTACTAGCTGTGGTATTATTGTCAATAGAAAGCTCATAAAGACGCAATGTTGTGACGTAGGTCATTGTAGATGCTTGAAGTTTCTTAGTTTATTCATCTCTCACATCGTCAATGATGTGATGAAGAAAAACAAATGAATTAAAATTATTATCAATAATTTAGAAACAGAGCATTTTAAAGGTATAGGTAATATAAAGTTGTATTTTTTTGTTATTTTTATAAACATTTTCAATCACAGAATTATCACGTTGTCGATATTTTGACGAATTGTTCTCTACTAGCCTACAATCCGAAATTAATGCCAAGAACTTGTAAAAGTTTGAAGATGTAGAAATTAAATTAGCAATAATTGTTAAATTTCCAATTTTATTGGTGGATTTATTTATTCATCGTAAAAAAATTCGCATAATTTTAAATCCAAACATTCAGTCTCCCCACACTATTGTCAGTTGACATGAACTTACACATCCTACTGATGACTTAATTTAATATGAAGTTTATTTTACGTGTATCAAATATCAAATCTGTAAACAATGAAATTAATTATAAAATATTACTTTTATCAATAGTTATGAATTTATCATGATCAAGAACTTAGATATGAATATGTTGCAAGTATTATTTCAAATGTAAGCATTGCTCAGATTAATTTACTTAAATAAAAATATCCCATTAAGTCAGATGTACCATTGATGGTACTACTGACACTTTTACGTCACTAGTACCATTAAAAATAAATGTTCGGAAACTCTCTGAAGTACCATTAATGGTACTACTGAGTACGTTCATTGATATTTCTCCGACTAAACACGGGGGAATATATTGTATTTCTAATGGTACCGTAATAGCGTGTCAGGAGTACCATCAATGGTACATCTGACTTTAGGGAAAAATTGCTTTGTGGTTTTTGTATCACTGATACATCAGCCGCTAGCGTGCCGTGCATATCAAGCACTCAAAATGAAATCTCACAAAACAGTGGTTACTATTATGAATGATAGAAAAAGTAGTCCATAAAGGCATAACAGCTTCACATAAAATTGGAGAACTTATAGTATACTTTAAGTTAATAAATATCACAGCAACCCTCTGAAAATTGTTCTACATATTGTTAATAATTAACTCAACACGTTTTTTTGTATCTCACATTGCAAAGTAGAGATATAGGTGGCTTCACATTAACATTATAATTAGAAATTGTATATTAGATATGAATAAATACCTAACTTTCGTAACCACAAATGCCATTTGAAATAAATCATATTTTAATAATGTAATAATAACATTAGATTTTGAGAATTAAATAATTTCAAAGAGCTGTGATAATGGATCACCATTGATTGTTGCATATTTCTGTACTGGCATAGTTCGTTGTGCGGAATAAATATAGACTTAACGCTCTGAGTACAAATAAATGTAATGAGAATAATACAATTGATGTAATTTCGCTTTAAATCTTAAGTAGACAAATGAAATAAAACCCAAATATTTTTGTTATCATTGAACTTTTATTTAAAAGAAAACATTATTCGTAATTATTTAAAAACCATTTGACAAATATTTTCCATTACTTTAATAGCTGGGCTCGGTTCACTGTTCATCCATTCACTTGCTCGCCATTCGTTTCTGGTGTTTCGTTCCAGATCCTGTCGAATTCCTTTTTAAGATTATTCACAACTTTTGGCTCTGAAGTCAATAACGTGTTGTCCCTGTTGCAGTTGACTCGCGTCGTTTCGTAATCCAGAGAGCCTATCAAAGCTAAGGCATCGGCGAAGCTTTCCGAGGCGTCCACCAGTATGAATTCGTGTTCTATAGGTTCAGTTGACTTGACAACTTTAACTTCGATGCCCTGTTCCGACAATGATGTTAAGTTGTCTGTCTGTTCACTTTTGTGCACTGCTACTCTTATTCTCGTTTTATTTTTCTGATGGACACTTATGAGACACTTGGTAATGGTTTCGCTTTCGAGTTTTGGCACACAAACGTCTACTGTTCGGGATGCGTGGGCTATGATGTAATATATACAAAACAGATTGTCCAGCCCGATCTCTTTTCTCTTGTTTTCCTCTTTAGCGCCGTAGAATAACACTTCGTTGATGCTGGGGTCTAACGCTTCGTCTTGTCTGTATATCAAAAATTTGTACGCCAATCCACATAAAAATGTACCGCCTATGAACAAAGCATTCTTCCAGTTAATCGTATCCATATTTTGTTGAAGTGTCGAGAGTGTGTCGTATTTATGGATTGAATAGAGTGTAATTACAATATAACTTTTCAAACACCACTTATTCTAATAAAAGTTATATCAACTGCTTATAATTTCAATGGCGAGTGTTTTTTCAAAGATAAAATACATCTAGTATTTCATTTACGGGTAGTCGTAAAAATACTTAGTCATTGAGGTCATGGTAGGGGAAAAATCACAGTATGTTCTGTGGTTAGAATGAAACGTATTGTTATTAAGGCTTGTTCTTGATTTCAATAATAATAATATAATCTATACTAATAAAGAGGTAAAGTTTGTAACGTTGTAGTGGGTAATCTCTGGATCTACTGAACCGATTTTGAAAATTATTTTATTAATAGAATAAACCTGCTTCAATAAAAAGTTTCTATCAGATCTACTTTTTTTCGTTATAGTTTTAATAAAAAGTTTTTTCAGAATTTCTTTCTATTTTATTGTTTCCTTAAAAAAGTTCTTTTCCGAACGGACATAAACTCTGTCCATAAAACAAAGTTGCTCTCGCTATCTTTACGCTTAAGATCGTTTGAACTACGAAAACGGATTTTAATGCAGTTTTCAACAAAAGAGTGATTCAAAATGAATGTTTTTAAATAATCTCGAGAGTAAAAACTATAGGTAGTCCACACCGAAGCGAAAAGAGGGAGGGTCGCTAGTGTTAAATATTCGTACCTGGTTATGCCATGGTTTTCAACTGATTTACGTTAGTTTATAAAAAAAACCGACCAAGTGCGAGTCGGACTCGCTCACCGACGGTTCCGTACGTATTCAATTTAATACCTACGCGTTCATGAGAAAAGAGGTAGTAACTTAAAGAATTTCAAAAATATTTTTTTTTATATGATTTAACTGAAAATTTACAGTTTTAAATTTTTCCTATAAGACGTTACTTCGTATCAAATTTCAAGATTCTAAGTTCACGGGAAGTACTCTGTAGGTTTGTAGAAAATTTGCGGCATAGACAGCTGTATCTTTTGAATGCTTTGGCTTAGAAGTCAGTAAGAATTTTTCACAGCTCCAAGGGACAGTAGACATGAGTATTAGATATGAATTTCAGTTTGATACCTCCACCCGTTCCTGAGAAAAACGGTCTTGACGGACGGACGGACAACAAAGTGAGCTCCGTTTTTTTCCTTTTGAGGTACGGAACCCAAAAAATGAAACTACTCGGAGTCTTTGTTTTTAAGTTTGATCAAAGTTGATGATGATGCTATCATTATCCTGTATATAACAATAGCATTACGACACGAGACTTATAATGAATCATTAAATTATTATTTTTTTATTTCTAGCCATCTATGAGTGTGGCAGTATGTTAAAGTAGATTCACAAATATTAGGGGGTGTATAACATTATATAAATCTATGATTTAGACTCGGCTATAAAACTACTAAATGCTGTATCTGCCTTCGTTTTGGCGAAAAAGTCGACAGAATATTGTTTTCACCGATGATATAACTTAAGTCAACGTTTTGTAAAAATAAGAGTTTATTATATCCAACTAGCTGTGCCCCGCGGTATTACCCGCGGTTTATTAGGGATATTTCCCGCAGTAAAACGTAGCCTATGTGTTAATCCAGGGTGTCAGCTAACTCCATATCATTTTATTTTAGATCGCTCCAGCCAATACGTGAATAAGTAACAAACATACATGCTCACACACTTAACATACATGCTCACACACTAAACACAGTGTGATGATTTACTAAAATGTTAATACCTTCACTACCACGGTATAAACGATTATATTAGGTATCGATTTTCCCCGTACTTATTTTCGCAATTTTCCGCACACCAACTATTTGTCAGTTTATGACAGAACAGTTGAAGGTGTTTTGACATTAATCAATTATACAATTTAATTTATAGCATTTTTTTTAGTTTACGTGTGGTATGTGTTCTATTTTGTGATTCGAAGATGTCCCAACAGCGGACTCGGAAGCCGGTAGTTGCGGAGCAGATGTCACGAGGCCGGGCCACTACTAAAACATCAGGAGAGCAATGTCTCCTATTGAAGGTTTGAGCCTCCACAAAATTCATCTTTTGTTATCGAAATGTAGTACAGTAGTAGTCATAATAGTGCCCAATTGCTCAGCTTACCTACAAAGTTATTACCTCTTTCTCTGTTATTCAAACTTTTTCAGAATTATGAAAAAAAGTACCAATCAGGAGTCTCTGCAGGAGATACGGTACCTTGTAATGTCCAAAATAAACAAAGGAGTCGTAGCAAGAGTAAAATACCCAAGAGCCTTCGCAATGATTTGGAAAATGCACTCGTCGGTGTAAGTGCTTGATGATATCAAATAGCAAAATCGGAATATATTACGTATATTAAGCTAGCAGACCATGGTCGCAACGCGCACATCTAACCTACTGGGTATTTAGTTGCTAATTAGTTGCTAATTAGTTACACTATTCCCGATTTAGTTGCTCAACACCTGTAAAAGATACATGCGATCTGCTAGCTTAAGTCTTAATCTAGCAGACCACAATACTGTATCTTCGGTTCTCGTAAAGATATCGAAGTTCTGCAAACGGCATATTTAGTTGCTAATTAGTTACACTATTCCCGATTTAGTTGCTCAACACCTGTAAAAGATACATGCGATCTGCTAGCTTAAGTCTTAACCTAGCAGACCACAATACTATATCTTCGGTTCTCGTAAAGATATCGAAGTTCTGCAAACGGCATTTAGTTGCTAATTAGTTGCTGTAGGACAGCATTATTTGTTTTATCCCCCCATCATCCCTTAATTGCCGCACCAGCACCCACACTACCCCCCAAATACGATAAAATTAAAAAGAGCTCATCAGAGAATATAAACTACGGCGTATTTCGTTGCTAATTAGTTGCTACAAAATAGCGTTGCTTGTAGTATTTAACTATCAACCCTTAACTCCAAATCAGCACTGCAACCACCCTTAACTATCAACCCTTAACTCCAGATCATCCCTGCAACCACCCCAGAATAGGACGATATCGGAAAATTCTCGTAGGTGGAAAAAAGACGCGGCATATTTAGTTGCTAATTAGTTGCTCGCCAAAACCGCAATTAAGAGTATTCTACAAACATCCCCTAACCTCAGATGCAACCCCTCTACTCACTTAGAAACAGTAGATGGTTAAAATTCGCACGCAGATGTTTAAGACTGCTGGATGTTCTGTTGCTAATAAGTTGCTCGCCAAAAACGCAATTAAGAGTATTCTACAAACATCCCCTAACCTCAGATGCAACCCCTCTACTCACTTAGAAACAGTAGATGGTTAAAATTCGCACGCAGATGTTTAAGACTGCTGGATGTTTGGTTGTTAATTAGTTGCTGAAAAATAGCGTTGCTTATAATATTTCATTATCAACCCTTAACTCCAGATCATCCCTGCAACCACCCCAGAATAGAACGATATCGGAAAATTCTCGTAGGTGGAAAATAGACGCGGCATATTTAGTTGCTAATTAGTTGCTCGCCAAAACCGCAATTAAGAGTATTCTACAAACATCCCCTAACCTCAGATGCAACCCCTCTACTCACTTAGAAACAGTAGATGGTTAAAATTCGCACGCAGATGTTTAAGACTGCTGGATGTTCTGTTGCTAATTAGTTGCTCGCCAAAAACGCAGATAAGAGTATCCTACAATCATCCCCATACCTCAGATCCACCCCCTCTACTCACTAAAAAATAGTAGATGGTTCGAATTCACACACAGATGTTTAAAACTGCTGGATATTTTGTTGCTAATTAGTTGCTGCAAAATAGCGTTGCTTATAGTATTTAACTATCAACCCTTAACTCCAAATCAGCACTGCAACCACCCCAGAATAGGACGATATCGGAAAATTCTCGTAGGTGGAAAAAAGCGGCGGGATATTTAGTTGCTAATTAGCAATACGATATTCTGCAGTAATATACATCTACGAGCGTATTCTGGCCGATTTTTTATTGTAAAGAGAAAGTGATGGTCGATCTGAGGTGAAGAGACGATTGTAGAAAAATATCCCGCATTTTTTGTACCCACAAGGGTGGCAGCTGGGATGATTTGGAGTTAAGGGTTGATAATCAAATATTTTTCTGCAACTAATTAGCAACAAAATATCCAGCAGTTTTAAACATCTGCGTGCAAATTCCAACCATCTACTGTTTCTGTGTTAGTAGAGGGGTTGGATCTAAGGTTAGGGGGTGATTGTAGAATACTCTTAACTGCGTTTTTGGCGAGCAACTAATTAGCAACTAAATATCCCGCGTCTTTTTTCCACCTACGAGAATTTTCCGATATCGTCCTATTCTGGGGTGGTTGCAGGGATGATCTGGAGTTAAGGGTTGATAATCAAATATTATAAGCAACGCTATTTTTCAGCAACTAATTAACAACAAAACATCCAGCAGTCTTAAACAACTGCATGCGAATTTTAACCATCTACTGTTTCTAAGTGAGTAGAGGGGTTGCATCTGAGGTTAGGGGATGATTGTAGAATACTCTTAACTGCGTTTTTGGCAAACAACTAATTAGCAACTAAATATGCCGCGTCTTTTCCCACCTACGAGAATTTTCCGATATCGTCCTATTCGGGGGTGGTTGCAGTGCTGATTTGGAGTTAAGGGTTGATAGTTAAATACTATAAGCAACGCTATTTTGCAGCAACTAATTAGCAACGAAATACGCCGTAGTTTATATTCTCTGATGAGCCCTTTTTAAATTTTTCGTATTTCGGGGGTAGTGTGGGTAACAAATAATGCTGTCCTACAGCAACTAATTAGCATCTAAATATGCCGTTTGCAGAACTTCGATATCTTTACGAGAACCGAAGATACAGTATTGTGGTCTGCTAGGTTAAGACTTAAGCTAGCAGATCGCATGTATCTTTTACAAGTGTTGAGCAACTAAATCGGGAATAGTGTAACTAATTAGCAACTAAATACCCAGTAGGTTAGATGTGCGCGTTGCGACCATGGTCTGCTAGCTTAATATACGTGAATATATTTATAAGTAGGAAGAACAGGTACTCCAACTATTTATTCTGTGACTATCTTCTGTGAGCTATAATAATATTTCATACCTATATTATCATCTCAAAGAAGAACAGTCATCTGTGACCCAGTACCCGACAGGAACGAGACATATCTCAGATTTTTGTAATTTTTTTATTTATTCAAATTAC